CCTTTCAGCGGCAACACCCAGCAAGACTGATTACCAAGGAGCTCAATTTGAGGAGGATCTCACCATTACCCTTCAGTTTTCACCAATGCACATCAGCATGTCCCTCCCCAGCATTCCCCTTAAAATGTGTAATTTCATAGCAAACCACCATGGCACATGTTTACTTATGTAACAGACCTGCACATCCTGCACATGTACCCTAGAACTTAAAATAAAAGTTGATAAAATGTCAAAACAAACAAACAAACAAAAAAACCCCACAAAAACCTCTGAAGCTTGACAATAAACCAGTGTTGAAATACAAAGTTAAATGTCTGGGTTAGAAACTTTCCAGGTTACATTAAGAGATGTCACAAATAACTGTTTATATAACCCACAGAAATCACTTTTCTGGGAACCTCAGTGATCCAGAATGCAGATGAGAATGAAAATTTTTTAAACAAGATATCATGAGCAGACTAAGAAGAACATACAAACTTCATGCACTGAAACATATGTACTATTTACTGTTAGTTTACACTAAGTTCTAATCATCTTAATAATGTCACATTAAAAGAGAGGGCTTTTGGAGAAGAACTAGGAACAGACATGACAGACAATACACAAAACACATTCTGACAGCACAGAGGTCCCCGGCTGCCCAGCCAGAATACACACAAACTCCTGCTACACCAACTTGGAATGGCTTCCTCATCACAGCCTATCACAGCATCAGAAAAACCTCTGTGGGCAGAAATGGCTAACATGCATGTCTATCAAGTAAAATGCCATCAATAATTTCTGAGTACAGAGTTAGTTCATCAGGTTCCGTTTTTACCTCTATCTGCATATGGTATATACATAGCTTTACTTTACTTCTCTGTGAATGGTTTAAAGGAAGAATTGCGTCCCTCAAGGGCTAATTTCAATTATTGTGAAATTGATTCATTTGGAATATTTGACTCCCCAGTGACGACAGATGAGAGAGGGCAGCCATCTCCTAAGAATGCGTCTTGGTTACGTTCTCTGTATTGAGCTTCCTGTATAAACTCCACAGCTCGAGCTTAATACCCGGGTGATGGGTTGATCTGTGCAGCAAACCACCATGGCGCATGTTTACTTATGTAACAAACCTGTGCATGTACCCCAGAACTTAAAAGTTGATAGAATGTCAAAAACAAAAACAAACAAACAAAAAACCCACAAAAACCTCTGAAGCTCATGCGTGAGGAAGCCTGGTCTGAGTCCTCTGGGGACCAAGCACAAGAGGCAGACTCTGGCTGGGCAGGTGAGCAGAGACCAGCTGCCCCCCAGTTTGGAATCCAGGACTGAGAGCATCTGTCACCAGTGGGATGTGCCTGTCTGGCTTCTGGAAGCTTAGCATCTCCAACGTGAGGCCAGGCCCCCAGGGAAGTGCACCAGGAAAAGGTCAGGCTACAATTACAGGTTTATTCTTCCAGCTGAAACTAAATCCGAGAGTTCACTTTTGCCATGCAGCAAGTCATCACTTGGTAACAGCGAGAAATTAATAACTGGGGAAGAAGAGTTAAGTTAGTGCGGGGAGGAAAGTGCAGCCAGGAAGAGGGGCCCATTTGTAGAAAGATGAAATTTCGTGGGTTAGATAATAGAGACTGTCAGTGAAAATTGCTGATTCTAGGTCCTTCCTGGTATCAATTCCAAGGGGGAGGGAAAATGAGAAGGTGGCAGAAGAGAATATAAATAAGGGGACTGAAAACAGATTACAATGATCGGATGTCTGCTGTACTTCATCTCCAAGCACGCTCCTCCAAAAAAAATTACTGTTTGTTCATGACATTGGTCTGTAACCAGCAACCTTAAAACAAAATCAGACTATTTGACTCTAACCGTATTTTCCCATCACTATGTTTTTAATTTTGTAAAATCTTTTTCTTTATACCACACTACAGTAGTAAGTAATCTTGTAAGTGGTTTCTACTGTTGATTTTTCTCTCCACAAAAACAAAACAAAAGCACAAATATAAGGAAAGGGTATATAAATACGGCCTACTGATTATGCTGGCTGTATTGTTCTGAACTCCAAATCAGAGTAAAGGGTCTAAAAGGAATCATTGTCTTTGATTTGTGGATTAGCATATGACAAACCTTATAGAGGTATAGCATTAAGCTACATTGAGCTGTAGACATGGTTCACATTTTACAAAAGGAACAGAATGACATGGAATCAGGACTGAGCTGTAAGGTGTCTCAGGTTGAGGTGAGATGGCAGTCATGCAAGTGAATCCTATTGATGCCAATTTCCAGTAACTTCCATCTGACAACAGGCCACTCAGCTAAACTCAAAAAGAATATGCTTTCAGAAAAGGAGATTTGGGGGAATTTTATTTTTCATAAGAGAGATAATAAAAACTGGTGTTTTAAAATCAGAAAACTTTGAAGAGAATCTCTGCTACTGGAAGAAATTTTATAAGGAAGGAAAGAGGTCCCCTAAATTAGAAGGGATTTCCATCCTCTGAGATCTGTGTGGGGACCCTGGAGGGGCTCTCAGCTCTCCAGAATCATACAGCATGACCCTAGAGAACGCAATGTTAACATGTGAGGATGAATGAAGGGGCTTTGACAAAGTCATCCTTCTGAAAGTTAGACCACCCTGGAAATGGCACTGCTGGGGCTGGGGCTCAGATGGGCCAACGCTGGTGTGTGCCCCATTATCGAGAAGCACCGTGAGTCAGTTTTGGAAAATAGCAGACCACTGCTGGCTACCATTCTCCACCGTCTGCTCTCCTGCCAGGCCACCCACCTGCCGGGCCACTCACCCACCCTGGGCCTCAGTCCTGAACTTCAGTTTATCCCGCTCCTTCCCTCGGCAGGCACTGTTGGTGGCCTCACTCTCGGCGGCCTCTCCTGTCCAGGCTCCCTGAGGCCTGTGCCAGGGCACTGGCTGGCCACCCTCAGCCATGCAAGCTGCCTGGGTCCACAACTGCTATGGGGAGGTCTCTGCAGAGATGGGCCAGGAGCCAGGACAGAGCAGGCAGCAGCACTGTCCCCCAACGGGTGGGGAGGGAGCAACCAGTGTGAGGCAGTTGGGGCCTTCATCGCCTGGGAGACCCCTCAAGTTCCCAGCACTCCAGGCCCATCGACCACCTTCCCTCAACCTCACTCCTTCACTGGTTTCCTTTAACTGGCAAAGGTTGCGCACCCACCAAGACGACAGGCAATTACTGCTCTGTGAATTGTCTAAGATCGCCATAAGGGCTACATTTACACTTTAAAAGTGTCCTAAAAATCATAGAGAAAGAGGTAAACTTTTGTGGTCAGATTGCTGATAGGACTCAAAAACATAAAAAGTAAAAGGACCATAATACATTTACTTTCTTGTTTCTATATATAGTATTTTGAAATCCTGTACAACCAAAAGAAAACAAACAACCTCCCCACTTCACCACCCGCAGCAGCAGCCAAGCACCTAGGGCTAGGGTCTTACAAAATTAAGGTATCATTTTCACTCTTCCCAGAATTCGTGTTGGAATTTTCACTCTGAAGCTGATATTACAAAGAAAACTACATTAAGAATAATTTTCAGCGTTTAGTTTACAGCGACGTGTCTTTGTTGATTACAGAGCCTTCTGAAAACACTTAATTTAAATGTCATGTGATCAGAGGCTCAGCCGACATTGGGAATTAAGTGCCAAGAGACCTAAATCCGAAGGCCACACGTAGTGCCCTGTAACTTTCTTCGCTTGATTAAAACTCTTTGAGAAAGATAATTGCTACTTCTTAAAGTAAAACGGATGAGGAAATTCTCTAAGTGCGGTGTCAGCTGGAGTTGGGGGCTATGGATAAAAGCAAAAATCAACAGAAGCCAAAGGTGGGGAAAGTGAAGGCAATGGCTCTCGGCCTGGCCTGTGCCTCTAAAGTGCCCCAGCACCGGCCCATGGACAGAAGCGCACCCCAGACAGCCTGGGGGTGTCCTCCATTGGGTCGCGCTTCCGCACCCGGGTCTCTTGGCCCTCCTCAGCCCCAGCTCAGAGGCCTCGGAGGCCTTACCATCTTCTTTTATTCCTTTCTGCCCCAGGCAGGTAATCTCACCGTTCTGCCAACGCTCTAGCCTCCCAGCCCACAGCGCAAGGAGGCAGAGAACCGTGCGCTCCTGCGGCGCGACGGAGCCTGGCCGCTGGGCCTTGCTACCCACGGCTTCCCAAAGGCCCAGATCTGCGACCTTCCGAATCGCGCTCCTTGCCTGTAAACACCGGGACCTCTGGGCTCCGGGGAGGTCTCATCAGTAAGTGAGCACCTTCCTACTCCCCCTATTCTGCTGGTGAGCTGGGTATAAACTAAGCACGGAAGGTGCCCGATGCGCTTTGCTCAGAGGACCTGTTTCCCCACTCTTCTAACTGCAGCTCCGCGATCTGGCTCCCGGACTCTCTCTTGGCGTTCTCGGACACCTCTGACCCTCTCAAAGCCAGACGCGTCCACCCGGGAAATCATCCCAGGGGTTTTTGGGGAGGGGGACCACCGCGCACCTCCACTCGTGATCAAAGCAGTGAAAGCACACGTCGGGGCCTCGCAGGGATGCGTGCAGCCTGGCACCGCGCGGGCGCTAGACGGCCTCGGTTTCCCGCCTTCGAGGCTCACAGCGCCGAGCCCCGCCGCCGGCGATCCCGCCCAAGATGCCCCGCGAAGGGTGCGGTTTCGAGAGGGCCGAGCCCCGGCAAGGGCTCGGGTATCGGGAGCGCCCGGCGGACCCTCAGCCTACTGGTCCCTCGCCCACGTCGCCCCGAAGCTGGCTGCCCAGCGCAGAGGCTGGCGGCCGTCGGGTGGGAGGGGCGCCCACCTCACCTTGGTGAACTTGACCTCCAGGTTGCGGATAGGGCGCGGCAGGGCAGGCGGCTTCCTGTCCGGCTGCCCGTTTTCCACGGCCCCGTTAGTGGTGGCCATGGCTCCTCCGCGCTCCCTGGCCCGAGGCGCCCTAGTCTGCGGCGCACCGGCTCGGCCTGGGCACTGCGCAGCCTGCTCCTGGGGTGACAGCTCCCCGCCGCTTTATGCAGCGCCCCACGCCTCCCTCCCGAGGGGGCCGTCTAATTGGCTGCAGGACCGGAGGAAGGGCGGGCGGGCTGCGGGAGGGAGGAGAGGGAAGGGGAGGGGGGCCCGCCCGCTTCACCCCACCCCGCCCGCCGCCCCTGCAGGAGCCCGAGTGCCGGCAGCTCTGCCCGCGTGCTGCGGACCGTCCCGGCTACCGCGCCGTGCGCTCTCTCGCCCTGGAGGTTGGCTTTGGACTAGCTCCCCGAAGCGCCGCCGGGCCCCGGAAGTCGCAGGGCTGGGACACCCGACCGGGCAGGGAGCTGAGCCGTAGAGGCCACAGCGCCCAGCTGCCTCCCCGAAGCCGGGCGAGCTCTTCCCGCGGCACCTGCAGCCCCCTCCCAGTCGCCGCACAGAGCGCTCGCCCAACTTCGGCCGGCTTGCAGCTCTCCGGAATGCCGCCTCTCCGCTGGGCCCTGCGCCGCGCCGGAGTCGGGGCTCCTGGCGGGGCTGCCCCGCGTCGCTGCGCACGTGCCCTGGTCTTGGGTCCAGCGGCCCGATCCCCGCTCGCAGGACAGACACCCGCTGCGCCCCACCCTGCCCTAGCGGGGACCGCCGGCTGGCGCACCCCGGCCCAGCTGGCCTGGAATTTCCCTGCGGCCCTGGGGCTTCACACGCAGTGGGGCAGAAGGCGAAAGCAAAACGCTGGACCATTCCAGCTCTACGCTGTGGAGCCCTGGCGCCGCTGGGACTCTGACCTTCACAGGCGCACACCGCCCTCCATCCCAGAGCCCTGGAGTGCAATTAATTTGGTTTTTTAAATGCATAAATTATACCTCGATTAAAAAATGATAATTAAAAAGAAAGCACATGAGATCTTTGCTGCTAATCGTTTTAAGAGTTGAAACTCTTGTCGGGCATAACTTCCCAGGAGTGGGAGGTAAGTCTAGCTCCTCTCCTTTTGCCATTTGGGAAATGCTCCATCGACCCCCAGGACTTGACACAGCCCCCATCTGAGACACGGAAGCGGCTTCTGATGCATGCCATTCCTCAGGTTGCTGGAACAAAGACGGGAGGCACGAATTCCTGACAAAAGCTGTGCTTTAATCCTCAGATAGGCTCAGGCCCTTCAGTCCATCTCTTTGTATGAGTAACCCCAAGTAATCAACAATGGAGAGGGGTCTTCTTATTTTCCTGAAGCTCCTCCTGTTTTGAGGCCTCCGTGTCCATCTCTGTCCCCTGGTGTCCTTCTGGATAGAGGGATAAGTTTTGAAGCTTTTGGAAACCCCGCATCTGTCCCTTACCCTGTGGTGGTGGAAAGTTCTTGTGCTGCTATGGCCTGGAGTGCACAGCTGAGGCCGGGAAAAGGGGATAATGGACCCTCGAACAGGGCAGCCTTGACCAATATCGGCTGGCTAACACTGGTGAGTCTGAGCAATGCCAGCTCTTTCCTCAGCTGCTTCTGCCAAATCCTGGCCTCCCTGCCATCTTGACTGGCCCCATGGCTCCCACTTAGGTCTCCTGAAAGCATCTGGGTAGATGTGCCATGCCAGGGCCTCTGGCTGGGTGCTGAGCCCTAGCATTTGGGTGCCTGAACCCAAGAGGACCGTCAGGGTGTATCGACAAACCCTTCCTGCATAGATAGAGGCCAGGAGCCCAAGGCCAGTGGGTGCACCAGGCCCCAGGAAGCTGCAACTAGGGATGCTTTACAAACTGAACTCCCATTCTGAGACTTTATCTGGGATCCTGGATGGTTGAAATTATGTCGCTGCCAGGATTTTTTTAAGAAATCTGAAATAAAATTTATAGAGGAAATTGTGTTAATTAAATAATTTTGGATTAATGGGGGAGGCAAATGGCATTGAGCTTAGAACTCTGCTCCTTTAGGGAAGATAGTCGAGCCTGTTTGGTCAAAGACAGACAGCCACCACTTTGTTGGCTATGAAGTCAGGAATGAAAGCCACCTCACCTCACACTCAGACGTCCTTGTGACCCGAGGCGTGATCTCAGGAGCCAGTTGCAATGATGCCGACTGGCTCACCTGCAGCTCCTCCGTTTGATACCCACGTGATCCTGGGAGCCTGAGATCAGAGTGGAGCACTTAGCCATAGACTTTGTCACAGAGAGCAGATCAGGAGGATGGGCTTAGCTCTGGGCTTGTCCAGACAAGCAGGCTCTACCTCTGCTCCCATCGGCGGGAGGGGTGGAGGCAAATGTGCTTCTCCCCATTTTACAGGTGAGTAAACAGAGGCGTGCAGATACTTGTCCCAGACATCACCATCGGGGGAGAAACTAAAGCCAGACTGTGTGAGAGTGAGTGGTGCACGGCAGGGAGGAGGGGCTTTTCTGACATTCCTCTGTCCTATTCTTTCAGGCAGGTGAGCACCTATGACCCAGGGCGGTCCCACGTCATTGGGGCTGCACAGGACATAGTGAAGACACCAAGTGCTTTGAAGGTCAAAAATGGTGGGAGTATCCCTCTTCCTTGTGCCTTTCCTAGGAATCGTACCTCCTAGCTGTGGCCTCAGAGGCAGGGGCCATAGGGGCTGGAAAGGAGGAAGATTTATTTTTGCTCACAGTGTGTTGCTGGGTGTTCGGTTCGGTGGTGAGTTGCCTGAGCATCGGAGGTGGCAGAGGCCCAGCCCCTTCTGATCACATCCCTGACCTGAGTTGCAGCTATGCACCCTTGGGTTGTATATTGATCTCTCTGAACTTCAGTTTTCTTTTCCATAATCTCCTTCCCATTTTACAGTGTTTGGGGAGGCTCAAGCAAGATAAGGCTCTCAGGAAGTGCTTTATAAACTTTAAAGGGCTATCACATACCAGCTCTTCATTTTCGTATTCTTCCTGGAGACTGGTTCCTCTTTGCTGGCTTTTCTTCTTGGAAGTCAGCAAGTTCCCCCCACTTGTCTCTGGCTTGCGGGAGCTCCCCAAGTCAACAGTCCCTCTGCTCATTTCATTGTGAAAAAGTATTTATTCATTTTGTTTTCAGCTCCGTGGTGCTGCTGTTGTCTGCTGCTTGTCTTATTGGTGCATCAAATGAGCTGAGTCCCGGACATGTCACATTGCAGGCTTGTTTGCGGATGAACACTTAGTAAAAAGAAGCATGAATAAAAGACTAAGATAAAACAGAAGTCAGGTGGTCACCCCCTAAGTTCAACCTCATTTCATTTTTAAACCCATAATCATTTGTGGGTGATGTTGGGGTCTGAAGCAAATGTAATGAATAATGATGATGATATTGATGGACCCCCTGCTGTGTTTCATGTTATTTCAGATCTGGTACCTGAGCCTTGTGGAGAGATGCCCAGGTCTGCTGAGCATCCCTTGTGTCCCCACAGCCTCTGGTCAGCTGCAAAGTTGCCTCTCCCACCCAGTCTGCTCACCTCCCTCAGTGTCGTGGAGTTGAGGCAGGGGCCTGGGACTTGGGTGTGCATTCTGAACCCCTTCCTAGAGAGCCAGGCCCCTGGGCTGAGGGTAGTTTTTTGATGTAGGGAAGCCCAGTCACCCCACTGTGTAGCTCTCAGGCCAGCTCTTGGGTGACTCAGGGAGGTGACCTAACTTCAGGTTTTTTGGCTATAAAATGAGGGTGGCGTGTGCCCCTGTGGTGAGGGAAGGTTGACTTCACTGTGAGCACCTCCCTGCTGGTATCAGTGAAGTCAATTCCATGTTTCATGTGAGTCATTCGGTGTTGCCTTAAGCTGACTAGAATAGGCAACTACTTACCTTTCAAGCTTACTATAAATTAAGACCCATCAAATACTACAATATTGTTCTGTCCTCAAGGGACACACAAACAAATCTTTTTCCCTGCGAGTTTCCATCAGTGATTGATTATATGGAGGCAGAAGCACCCCAGGTTGGAGAAAGAGGAGCTGATAACACCCAAACACGGTGAAGAGAAAGGAGCTGCCAGCCCACCACACAGCTCCTCCAGCTGCTTTCTCTCCAGCTCTGCCAGTCCTTTCTGGTCCTGGGGAAAGCCTTCCCCACACAATATTAGGCTGAGGCAAATCAGTCTTAGACCAGGCAGAAGCAAACGGAGAACTCATTACATAAAAGCAAAGAGGACACATCATGGTATTTGCAGGTCAGCCTCAGTGCAGCCATACACACACATGCACACCATATACATATACACACATACACATGCACGCACACGTGCGTGCACACACACACACACACACACACACACACCCCGCCAGTTCACAGCTGCCAGAGCTTTCCCCTTGGTCTGTCTTCCAGTGGATGAGAGTTGTGGCCCAGCCAGGAGAGAGCATGGAGGGTAAGGTAGAAAGAGCTAGCTGAGTACCCGATAGTTCTCTCCTTTCTTGCCAGTGGAATCCCATGTTATCGAGGGTGGCAATTGGCTTTGATAAAACCTATTTCCCAGCCTCTCTTGCAGATGGGTGGTTAAAGAAGTATAAGCTGAAGTTTTTGGTTTGGGCTTCCAAAGAAGCTCTTAGGCATGGTGGCTCATGCCTGTAACCCCAGCGCTTTGGGAGGTGGAAGTGGGAGGATCATTTGAGGCCAGGAGTTCAGGACCAAAGAAGCTCTTTACATGGGACTGAGTCAGCTGAAAAGCTCTTATTCCTTTCTGCTGCCTGGAACATGGACATGAGAGCTGGGTCTCCAGCAGCCATCATGTAACCATAATGCAATTCTGAAATGCAAATTCCATGGTAAGGAAGTTGGAAGAAATACTTAAGAAGAACCTGGGTCCCTGATGGCTCTGGAACGAGCCTTTCATCCCTGGATATTTTTTCTTGGATTTTTTTTTCATGTGAGCAAAACGAAAATCCCTGTATTATTAAAGCCCGCCATTTGGGTTTTCTGTTATATGTGGCCGACTTAATCCTAACCAGCCTAGCTGGCTGTTGGCCATTGCTATGACAAGAAAAGCAAACTTTTAAACTCACGTGGAATAATGATCTCATTTTTGTATAAGCAGAGCAGCACAGATATAAAAATCTTATCACCATCTCTGTTATTTTTGACCTTAATCAAATAACTTTGATGTGCTGTGCTCAGGTTTATAGTATATTAAAAAACAAAAATGAGCTCTGGGATGGAATAAATGGAGCTAGCTCATTGATTCATTCACAGCTTTAATTGCCTAAATTGGATGGTTGGATGATGAGGTCCTACTAGGGAAGAGAATCTCTTTGGTACAAAAGCCCCGTGGAGCTGCCATCCTCTGGTGCCCATAGGTGTTAGTTGTGTCCTCACATCTACTGAGGAAGGCACCAATACTCAGAGAGATTGAGTGACTGTACAAGTTCCTGGGCCACCCAGACCTGGAAGATACTTGGTCAGGCCAGCACTCAACCCCGGCAGCAAGAAGTCAGACTTTGTTTTAAAGTAAACAAAATGTCACTCCATATAATCACTGAATTTTGCTCATAATACTTCACATCTCTCAATACCACCGCCAGCCATTCTCAGTGACGTGAGAAGTTGTTTGCAGACTTTCCAATCTCCTTCAAAATTCAAGAATTCTGAATTTTGAACCACAATTTTTGGGGTTTCAGTTCAATTTACTGCAGATAAAACATACTTCCTGGTTAAAAGGAAAATTGTTTCAGGGGGCTTACAAAAGAAAGGGTTCAGGAAGATTCTTGAACACAAAGTGGTTCTTGCTAAATAATTGTACTGAGATAAGCCTAAGAAAATCAGAAACATACATATTGAATTTCCCTTGAAATTCACATGGGTATAACACTGTCAGGAAAGAGGGCTTAGCAACATACATTTTGCCAAGCCCAAAATGTTTGAAAAATAATTTGAGTATGTTAAGGTTTGGCGAATCACTCTTGGATTCTTCTATCCTAGTCCCACAGTGACAAGACTTTCCCCCTGCCCTTCATCCAGGACCCCCTGTAAAGGAGCATTAGTTACCCAAGAATCTTCCCTTGGATTTTTGCCATTATGTGAGTCTTGGGGTGGAGATCAGAGTGGGGAATAGAGGGGTTGTTAGAATCTGTGTACTCATGAGAATGCCTGGGGATCCTCTTGCAGTTGTGTCTTTGTGGAATGAGAGTTACTCAGGCAGCACTCTTGAGGTTCCCCTGTAATCAGAAAGCTTCTATAAAGCACATCATGTCTTATAACATGTTTAGGCAGACAGGAAGCCTGCTATGTATGTAGCAGACAGGAAACCTATTTATGTATATTTTCATCTAGTTTCGTATGGCATTGTGGTGATTCCAAAACACTCCACCCCCAAGGGAATGGATTAATTAGTGACCTATAGTGTTTTCATATTTATAATGTTCTTTATTATTAAGCATGTCTGCAAGCATTGAGATTGCATTACATTACACTGTATTATACATTACATTGTATTATATATTATATTATTTGCAAAGATAGTTTATCAATTAAGAGACAATGAATTGGATATGGTGTATTTTCCACCAGTGATAGCAAATAAACATGAATATTAGGAACAAAACATGGGATTATAGACTTTATAAGGTGCACGCAAATATGCGTCTTCTAAATTCCACGGATATTTCAGCTATTATGAATTTCAGCGCATTTTTTTTAATCCCAGGAAGTACTAAGCTTTTGCACCTGCTTACAATGTCCAGCGATTTCACTGCACTTCTCCCGTTGGCCACTAGATGTCACAGGACCAAGTTGAGTAGGAAGTTGCCACTGAAGTTTGTTCTATGCGAGAAGCAGGTATTTCCTAACTTAGCAGTAAATGGCAGTGCAAGAGCTTGTTGACAGCACAGTGCCCAAAACTTCAATTGCACCACAGAAACATGATGCCAGAATTGGTGATTAGTGCCCAGGCTAGCCCACAAAAGCCTACTCGCTTCTCCATAAGCCTAAAATGGGTTCCTAGCTTTGAGATCAAACAGATGTGGGTGCTGTTCTCAGCTCAGGGAGAACTTGGGCCTAATCTTTTTGAGCCACTACTTCTTTTTCTGAAGATGGAAGTAATAATTCTTGCTCAGCAAGGGATTTGTGGGGGTAGGTGAGAGTGGAGGTGCGACAAGTACATTTGCAAGGAGATAGACAAGACCTCACTGCTGCCTGACTCTTGATGAAGCTCACAGAAAGCACCACCCAGAACCTTGTCCTGCTGGCTGTGAGGCATCGCCCCCTGACCTGGCTGCTCTCTTGGGCCCTGGGTGCCCACTTCATCCCCATCCCTTCCTATCCCTCTCACAGACAAGACAACCCAGGACCCTGCAATAGAAATTTTCCAAGGAATTGCAAAAGGATAAATAACGGCAAAGGATAAGTGTGTATGATCCTAGGAGTTTAGCCTTGCAGGCAGGTAGACTGGGAAGGATTCCTGCAGGGCATTTGCCAGCCTCATTTTGTAATCTCCCTTGGTCACAGATTCCTTGTCTGTAGAAGATGGTACCTCCTTCATGGGATCAGAAACGCAACTGAGATCGCTGATGTGACAGGGCCAGCCCTGCCTGGTGTATGGTGGATGCTTGGTTTATGTCACTTGAGAGACTCTCTTGCTAGGGGGATGGGATGGACTTCAGTCTCCTTTTTCAGCCCTGGCCAAGAAACCTCCAGCTGGGTGGGCAGCTTCTCAACCCTTCTAGAACCTTCTTCCTGCTCTTCTCTCTGATCTATGCTACAGGTGGCTTTCAGCAGCTCCAGACTCTTCTCTGGCTGATGCCAGGCTCCATTCCCCCAACACCCATCCCTTCATTTGTATTTATGCTTCACCGCAACATTGCAGACACTTTTGGGGCTTCTCCTAGGAATCTATCTGGCTTTGGGTTTCTGAACACCCAGCTCTGCCCCGACTTGCTTCTCTCTCTCCTGTTTCATTAGCCATGTATCAGGTCTGATTCTTCTCAGTCTTTTTACTTTCTTCCTCATGC